AAAAAAAAAAAAAAAAAGAGAGAGAAAGAGGACATCTAGATATAAAGCATAACACACCTTCCCAAAAATAAGGACTCGGGGCTGGTGACTAAAAGTTGTAGGCTCAGTTGTGAGAGGCTGAGGCTTGAGGTTGGAAAATAGCAAGATTCTGTCTCAAAAACAAATAACTCTAAGCCCAATTCTCGATTATGAAAGTACACCAGGATAAAGATTACAATATTTGTACTTATTTAGTCATTAATTTGTTCAGTTCCAATGAATGTCTTGGTTTAAACACTACACAAGCACATAAAGTCAGGTATGGCGGTATTTTCCAGACCATGAATGTAAGGAGATAATTCCTTTCATTGTGCTTTATCTTTACAGGTTCCATCCAATTTAAAAATAGCTATTGCACATTCAAGTGTTTGACAACACTGAGGGGAATGTAATTCTCTTTTTAGTTACAGTGGAGATCTCATCACATATATCTAGAAGGTATCAGAGATATTTATTGTCATAGCATGTTTACAGTTTAAGACAACTTTCCTCAAGTGAGCTAAACTCTGGTTAGGGCAGTTATTCTCTGCAGTTTATTTGATGATCTCTTCCTTGCCCTGCACCCATTATGGTATTTAGAATTGGTCTGCTTTAAAACTATTTTTAAAGACTTAGTAAAAACACAATAAGAAATCAAGTTTCTAACATTTCCACTGATACAACAATTACTAGTCTGGGCAAGTATATCCACAGGTCCTACATCTCTAAAAAGAGAAACTATTTTGGGTGCTTCAGAGATCTATGAAATAAGGGGGTTTCATTCAGAGGTGAATAATCTGACCCACAGACGTTCTACAGGCTTAATCTAAGTGGAGCAAAGGGAAGCTGCTGGGTTTCTGGCTCTACTAACACACTGTGCCTTCTGATCGGCTCTTTTGGGCTATGTCCTCTAAACCTTGATCATTGATATTGTCCTGATGTTACTTAGCTCTCAGGTCTTGGGAGGAAGGCGCACAGTATTTACAATATTTCTTCAGATATATTTGTTATCAATTTTGCAATCACTATGGAAAGAAAAAACACTCTTGTGGTCGATTTCTTTCCCCACATGATTACATTGTCACAGTTTTGCCCGTTTTTTGTGGATGGCATTGTCATGGTTTGAACTGCATTTGGGGACAGTGGTAACTGAACAGAATCCTAAGACTTGGGGATTGTTCTTTTCTTTTTCCTGTCTGTTTTTTCTTTGCATTTCTTTCTTAGAGATTTACTCCCTTTGTGTATGAGTTAAAACAGAGCTACAACAGATTCCGAGATCCGAGTCTCACTAATTTGACTTTTTATTCTAACATTAGTGTGTCCAAGGTGTAAGCCACATTCCATGACCCACCTACTTCCTGTTCTTTGGTGCTTTTTGAGAATACTGCCTAAGGTCAGTATGCTTAATCTTCTAAGGTAAGTCTCCTCCCAGACATATTACAAACCTGAACCACAAGCTGAAAAAAACTTCAAGCAGCCAACCACACCTATGTGTAAAAAAATTGTTAGTGTCTACAAAGGTATGGCTATTTGAGAAAATTAAACATATTTGACTCAGTCACTAATCTCTTATTGCAGAGTGGAAAGTGCAAAGATTAGAGTTTCTCCATATGCAAAGCCATTTAATCAACTGTCTTAGTTACTTTTCTCATTGCTGAGACAAAATACTCACCATCCACCAGTTAAGGTAGGGAAGGTTTATTTAGCCCAGAGTTTGTAGAGGTTTCAGTCCCTAATTGGGTGGCTGCAATGCAGTGTGGGATGGCAGATAAGCATCACAGAAGAGAAACAGTCCACTGTGGGCAAAAGGTAGCAAAACAAGAAAGGGACCTTAGCAGTTTCTTTCTGCCTCTTTTATCCTCTGTCTAGGCTACCAGGATTAGGGTGGTGCCAAAACTAAATGATTTAGTAATCACACACTTTTAATGCCAGCATCACACTCTAGATCCAGCCACCTCTGAAAAAGCCCTACCTATGACCACATGAGGCTTTGTGGGAACATTTAGATACAAATTGTAACATCATACCAGTAAGATATTTTTTAGAGCAGCCAGTGCTGGCTTTCTCCAATGATATCAGCAACAGTTGATTTGGGAAGAGCACTCTAATTAAGGGTTCTGAAGCTAGAACCCAATTCCTAGGTATAGAATATCAGAATTATTGCTCACTACTTACAAGACCTTGCACAAGTTGTTCCACCACTGTGCCTCAATTTCCCAGGTCTGAAATAAAGAGGTACTAACTTCAAAAGGATGCTTTGAAGCTGAATATTTTAAAAATAACTCCTGGCACATGTGTACTTCACTTTACTTTTTTTCTTAAAGTAAAGTACTTTCCCAAACCAATAATAACGTCTACTTTCTAGTTTTGTAATATGTCAGGAAACTTTATAGATACTGTTTTTAAGCCTCAGAAGTTAAGGATTAGTATCTCCATTTTAATTTGGCTGAATTGCGTATGATCACATCACTAGTTGGGAATTCTAACCTAGGTATGTCTAATTCCAAACTTTTGCCTTTCACTGCACAGCATT